TTTTCTGATGTGAGAATTCACTACCATGAAATTCCATTATGGAACTGCTTTCATTGTGTTCAGTAGATTCCAGTATGTCATTCTGGCATTATTGTTTGATTAGAGAAACTGTCTAATTTCTTTTTTAATTTCATCTGTGATTCATTGATTAGTCAAGAGGGTATTGTTTAGTTTCTGTGTGTTTGCATAGTTTATGTGGTTTCTTTTGCCATTGATTTCTAGTTTCATTGCACTGTGATCCGAAAATATGCATGGGATAATGTAGATTATTTTGCATTTACTTAAGCATGCTTTATTGGCTAATATTGGTCTGTTTTAGAGAAAGTTCCATTGCTGCTGAAAAGAATGTGTAGTTCTGTTGCTGGATGGAATGCTCTGTATCTAACTATTAAGTCCATTTATTTGAAAGTTTGGTTCAACTCTGATATTTCTTTGGATTTTTTATCTAGTTGAGCTGTCCATTTGTGACAATGGGATATTGAGTATTGGTGTTTAATCTGTTTGTCATGTCCATTGGTATTGTTTTGTGAAGTTGGGTGTGCTGATATTTGGTGCATATATATTTATGATCATTATCTCCTCCTGTTAATTGTTCCCTTTAACTAATATGTACACCTTTGTCTCTTCTGACCAGCCTCAGCTTGAAATCCACTTTGTCTGAAATTAAGATAGCAACTCCTGCTTTTTTCTGGGTTCCTGTTTCATGAAATGTTGTTTTCCATCCTTTGATTTTTAATCTGTGATTATCTTTTTGCACTAAACGTGTTTCTTCTGTGCTACATATTGTTGGGTTTTCTTTCTTGATCCATTCTGGCAATCTGTGTCTTTTAATTGGGGAATTGAAACCATTCACATTCAGAGTTATTACTGAGAGATATTGACTTATTCCTCTCAAAGCATTATTTTCTTGTTTCTGATTTCCTCATTTTTCTTCTTTTGTTTAGCTATTCATCCCACCAGGTGTATTCATTCTTTTTTTACTTATTGACATTGTTGCTTTCATTGTCTCTTTCTAGGATGTCCTTGAGAATTTTTTGTAACGCTAGTTTGGTAGTCATGAATTTCTAAAGGTGCTCCTTGTTATGGAAATATCTCATTTGTCCATCAATTTTAAAGAAAAGTTCTGCAGTATACATAAGTTTGGGTTGGAAGGTGATATCTCTTTGGGCTTGAAACACTTCACTGAAAGCCCTCCTGGCCTTTAAGATTTGTGTAGAGAAATCAGTTGTTATTCTAATGGGTTTACCTTTGTATGTGATTTGCTTCCTTTCTCTAACAGCTTTTAAGATTTTTGTCTCTGTGGTGGACTTCTGGAATTTTGAGTGTAATGTGATGTGGCATGGAAAGGTTCTCTTTCGATCATGGCTATTTGGTGTTCTATATCCCTTGCTTATCTGTATGTTTATTTCTTTTCCTACATTTGGGGAGTTTTCTGCCATCATTTCTGTGAACAGGTTTTTTATGCCATTTCTCTTCTGATATTTCATTTATTCCCATTATTCTTTGATTACTCTTCTTTGCATCATCTAACACTTGTTGGATCAATTTTTTATTTTCTCTTGCTGTTTTTAAGGTGTCTTTGAGTAGTCAGTCTTTAAAGGCATCATTGCCTTCTAGTTCTGAAATTGTCTTCACATCAGTCTGTCCTGCTGCCCATAATTTTAATATGACTTTTAATCTCCTAGATTTCTGATTGAAACTTTTTCAGGCACTCTAATTTGGTGAACTGGTCATGCATGTTTTATATCATTTTATTTAGTTCATCTAGCTTTCTATTAGTGTTTTCTGAGAGATTCTGCATTTTTGTTATTTATTACTATATTATTATATAATATTTTATTATTATATGTTATTTATCATTTATTTGTTATATGTTCTCTAATCTCATTGAGTATCTCTTTAAGCTGTTTTCTAACCTCATCTGCTATGCTTTTGAGTAATTCAGGTGTGTGGCTTATACAACTTTGCCCCTTAGTGTCCCCTGGATTGGCTTTGGGAGAATTGGGGCTTTGGGGAGGCATTTTGTTGCCTCTTCTTCCTGTGTTTCTATTGTTTCTGTTTGTTTCGTTTTGTGCTGAGATTCATTGATGTTTATAGTCTAAAGACTCTGTTGCTAAGATAGAGATCTCTTTCATTGCTTTTCAGTGATATACTTTGGGTGTGGCTAACTGTAATTCTTTACCAGAGCCCCATTATTTGACGACCTTGGTTACTTTGGGAGAGGAGGAGGACTATACTTACTCCAGCAACCAAGTTCTCTGGGAATCTACTGTAGTATTGTGAATGTCACGAAGGCAATCTGAATGTTGGCTTATAGAGTAATCACAATAATTATGTTACCCTGTTAATATCAAGTGAAACAGCCACAGAAGTATCACCTGAGACAAATTAGACATTAATGTACCATAAGAACCAGTGATGTACCGCCTTTAACCCAAGAAAAGAAACCATCAGTTATAATGTAAACATTAAGGCAACTCAGGTGTTGACTTACAGCTAAATGTAACTGTACTAAATGTAACAGTCACATCTCTGCTAATGGTAGAAAAGAATTCAACAGTAATGTTACAGAGTTAACTATCAAAAGATTAACAAAGATTTATGGTTATACTATTAAAGATTTAGGGTTTGGGAATGGGAGAGGCAAAAGGAAAACTTTGAAAATTTAAATTTAATGATAGGAGGAGGAGAAATGGTACAAAGGATCTTGTTGGGAAGTAGAAGAATGTCTACAGAATTGGGTAAAGGTAGGACCAAAAAAACTGGCAAGAAATAAAATAAGAGAAAAGTAGGAAAAAAAGAAAGTATACAGAGAATAAAAATAAAAGAAAAAGATTGCCGTAAGTTTGAGGCCAGCCTGAACTGCATAGTGAGACCCTGTCTCAAAAAATAAATAAATAAATATAAAAATAAGAGAGAAGTAATGAAGGGAAGAAAATTTAAAAGGCAGAAGAGGAAAAAAATGAAAAAGAAAAGAAAAAAAGATTAGAAGGAAGGCTAGAGGACAAAGAAGATTATGCAAGCCTTAGGAAATGTGAAAAAGACAGGAGGGAAAGAAAGAAGAAAAAATTTAAAACAATGTTCACAGTCACAAAAAAAGTTTTTTTTTTAAAAACAAACAGGGCCAAGGATTTAGCTCAGTGGTTCCCGTGCATGCCTCACAAGCGCAAGGTCCTGAGTTTGATTCCTGGAACCAAAGCACAAACAAACAAAAAAAGAAAAAAATTACCAAATGCAAAGGAAAAAAAAAGAAATTTCTCTGTGATTTCAAGCCTGTAGTTATTTTCTGGGGTCTACAATGTCATGGTAGTGTCCAGTTCAAGGCCTGACTCTGCTCTCACTGGTAGATAAAAGAGGCAGTCAGACCCAAGATCCTTCCTGGGTAAAAAAGTAAACCACTGGGCTCAGTTCAGATCCATAAACTTTATCAGGTCCCCATGTATAGTGTCAGTTTTCACCTGAATGACCATTTGAATCTGCACAGCTTAGGATATGTTCCCAGCCACCCCAAGAGGGGAGCCACGGCATCAGGTGGAGCAAGCTTATGCCCTTTGGTTTAGGGGAGGGTCAAAATCACGATGTAGAAGACCCCTCAGGCTGAAGTGTTTAGGACCTGCAACTATATAGGCTTTTGAGATTGCTGCAACCCAGAGTCCAGTTTCTCCACTGTCTCAGGATTGAGTTTCCCATGCCAGCTGCATGAGAAACTTTGCTCAAGACACTGGATGGTGGCTTTATCTTTATTTTGTATCTAGATGTCCCTGCAAGCCTCATGAGGTCATAGGGTGGAGGGTCCCAGAGGTGGCCGGATTAGGGTATGTAATAATGGGAGTAAGGGTGCCACCCTGGGTGTGGGTGGCACCACCAAAAAGGCAAATGGCCTGGATGGAATATAAAAGGACAGAAAGAAGCTACTCTGCAGCTTCGCTGCTCTGCTGCCTCCTGCCTGCTTTGCCATGGACTCTTTCTCCTCTGTGATGCCCTCTGCTGTGCCACCCTGCCTTGGAACCAGGTGACTGGACTGAAAGCTCTAAAAATTGACAGCCAGAATAAACCTTTCCTTTTTTAACTTTGGAAGTTAGGTATTTTGTTTCAGCAATGAGAAAAGTAACTAAGGCAGACAGAATGTGGTGCTAACCTAAAGGAATACCTAGTAAGCCCACTGCATGTCCTGGAGGCTTCCTCTTGACACCTCTTCCCACTTCTGGTCACGGGGAGCAAGTGCTTCTTGCCTTCAGTACTTTTATGTACAAGCACTCGTTTTCCAGGGCATTGGGAGTCTAACTGCTGGAAAAGGAAAGGACTCTTAAGACTGCAGAAGTTTGAAGGCAGGGAGAGGAAGAGAAAAAGGAGGAGAAAAAAAGATACACTATGTTTCAGAGGGCAAGGAGTTGAGGAAAGTGGGAAAGAAAAAAAGAATGAAAATCTTTTGGCTGGTCTTAGCAAAAGCCCCCTCTCAATTCTTTTACCTCCTGGCTGGTTTGCCAAGAGAAAATGTCACCAGGCCAGGTTTGAGAATTTCCCAAACTTAAGCCACCCCACTGTAGCAGGCTCACTGACTCCCATCACAGAAAAAGAATTTTCAGGATGCACCAAAAAGAGACACGAATAGTCTTTATTAGGCAAATATAGAAAGCACATTGTATACTCAAGAAGGGAGTGTGGACATTCGGAGAAATGAGTGTAAATGCTATATAGTTTGGAACTGAATACATTTATACCTTTTGGTGGGGAGACACCGGGGATCGAACTCAGGTCCTTGCACTTTCGAGGCAGGTGGCAGAGCCACTGAGCTGAATCCCTGGCCCTTATTTATACCTTTTTTGAGAGGGAGGAAAAGTGCCCACCCATTCCTCTTCTCCCATAAAAGTGTATAAGCCCAGTAGCAGACATTTTTTGTTGTTTGGTGGTTGTTGTTTGTTTTTCTCAAAAAAAAAAAAAGAGCTCATGTTTATACAGAATGAACTGTTTCACTAACATTCTTCTCTCTCCCTTTGAAGTTAAATGAACTGGTTGTAGGAGACACCAGCGGAAAGCTGTCTGTCTACAAGAATGATGACAGCCGGCCATGGCTCACCTGCACCTGCCAGGGGATGGTCAGTATTCACCTCGCTGGGTTTTGAGAGGAAGGTGGGGGAAGGATCCCTTCCATGCAGGCAGGCACTGTGAAGGAGAGGTCTGCTGCAGAGCTCCCCGGTTTATCCTGACCTCCCAGCTGCTCAGCCCAGCCCCACTTGGAATTTAGTTGACCCAAGCCCAGCTCTCACATCTCCTCCACCCTACCCCTCCACACAAGGCCAGCTGTGCTTTATGTTGTGGGGACCCTTAACGCTTTACAGAAGCCACGTAAAGTTGTCTGATCCTATAAAGTATAGTCATGTGTCACATAACAACAGGGACCTGTTCTGAGAAATAGGCTCTTTGGTCACTGTGTGAACATCATAGAGTATGCACACAGACTAAGACAACTACTACAGTACCAAGTGATGTAATCTTATTTGACCACCATCATACATGTGGTTTTGTTTTAAGCCCAAATTATCTCACCCACTTCAGATTTTCATATTGTCTGGGTAAACGGAACCCATAGCACAATAATTGGGTCAGTAAAGACTATCAGTGTATGCCACATGATGAGTTTTCAGTAAATGATGGTAATTAAGAAACTCACTCCATCTTGCTTCATAGGGATTAGAGAAGACTGTTCTCCCTGTTGCCTCCCTGAGCCTCCCTTTCTCTATTGCAGTTGACCTGTGTTGGGGTTGGAGATGTGTGTAATAAAGGAAAGGTAAGAACTCTAGGGAATGGGCTTTGATACAGTTCCATGGCCTCCTCTCCACCCTGTCTGCCAGCGCAAGCCAGCCCTGACCTCTAAGATGTAATTATCAACCTTGCACCCTGACCTCCCTCTCCAGGCCAGTCCATCTCTCCTGTACCTCTCTCTTCTTTCTCCCAGAACCTGGTGGTGGCAGTGAGCGCCGAAGGCTGGTTTCATTTGTTTGACCTGACACCTGGCAAGGTCCTGGATGCCTCTGGACACCACGAAACACTGGTGGGAGAGGAGCAGCGTCCAGTCTTCAAGCAGCACATCCCAGCCAACACCAAGGTCATGCTGATCGGCGACATCGGTGAGCATAGTTCCCTTTGCAGGCAACCAGGGCCATAGAGCCAGTGGGTGTTACGACAGATCTCAAGGATTAGTGTGAGGGAAGGGGTCCATATTCATTGACACATTTGCTATGTATTAAATGCCGAGTTACTGAGCTCTCATTGCGAGCCAAGCATAGTTTTAGGCACTAGAATTATAGTAATGAATGAAACAGACACAAATAACTGCTGTCCTAGACTTTATTACGGAGAGACAGGAAAAAACAATCTAAATTTTTTCAAGAAAATTAAATAGTTGGTCTGGGACTGTTGCTCAGTTGTAGAATACTTGCCTAGCATGCATGAACCCCTGGGTTCCATCCCCAGTACAGCAAAAAATAAATTTAAATAGTATATTAGAAGGTAATAAGTGCTGTAGAGAAAATAAGTCATAGAAATAGCTCTGGCATTATCAAGGTAGAGGTAGCGATTTTAAGTGGAGCTGACAAGAATGTGCTTGCTGAGAAGGTGACATTTGGTAGAAGCCTGAAAGTGCCAAGAGAATGAGCTCTCCAGCCACAGGGCTGCTATTTTGACCAGAAGTGGTCTGAAAGTGGGAGGTGCATGGGATGAGTCAGGACACTGGACCATATAAGAATAGGAGAGTATACACAGTGAGGCTTGTAGGACAGAGGGACGGGTAGCTACGTGAGCACAAGGAAAGGCTGGGGCAGGCAGCAGCTACAGTGGCCATGAATAGCACAAAAGGCTGGACATGATGTTGCACCAGATAAAAAGTGCCAGCAGCAGTGACCGCGGCAAAAGAGAGGAAAGTGATTGTAGTCCTCAAGCTGACCAGTACAGATTTGGCTCCGAATGCAGCTTATTCTCTGTGCCCACAGATGGAGATGGGTGTTGTGAACTGGTGGTAGGACACACAGACCGTGTGGTGCACGCCTTCCGCTGGGAAGAGCTGTCTGAGGGTACTGGACACCTGACAGGACAGCTGGTGTCCCTCAAGAAATGGATGCTGGAGGGCCAGGTGAGAGGCTGAGTTAGGGAAGCAGGGACCAAGGCCTCTGGAGATCAGTCACGGGACAGGATCAGGGCGGGAAGAAGGGAAAGCCACTTGTGAGAAAGACCCACAGAATATCATCTCCAGTCAAGATCTTCACAGAAATTCTAATGGCAGGTGAAAGAGAGAGAACACTGGGTTGAGAAACAAGAGTATTCAGTAGATGTGGTATGGATCCCATCAGGATCAAGACCCAGTGGGACACTCACAGTGGAAAGCAGGAGTGTGTAGAGGGGAGGATTCTCCAGACTCCACAGTCCTTCCTCCTGTGCCCCCACCTCTGGAGAGCTATTCCCAGGAGCCCTTCCCCACTATATCCCCTCATCCTGACAGGCCTCACCCCTCCCTGGTGCTCCATCCCCACTGAACCCCATTCCCTAGTACAGGTGGACAGTCTCTCGGTGACCCCAGGGCCGCTGGGTGTTCCTGAGCTGATGGTATCTCAGCCAGGCTGTGCTTACGCAGTTCTTCTGTGCACCTGGAACAAGGACACTGGATCTTCCCCTGCCTCTGAGGAGGCCATAGAGGGCAGCAGGTAAGGAGGTACAGGACTGCAGAGTATGTGGGCCGCATGGAAGCAAAACAGGCTTCCCAAGGACACATGGTAGTAAGATGGTCTGCAGTTGACAGACCTCCTTCATCTCCCATTACAGAGGATTACTTGGGTACCTGGGGCATCCCGAGCCTTAACTTTGCAGCATCTGAAAGAGGCTCAAGGTGTCTGCCCGGCAGGTCAATCCCTCCTGCTTTTTTGGGGATAGCAGCCACCAAGGGCCTGGAGAACCCATCTCCAGTGGACCCACATGGCCACTCTCCCGCCTCCTCACAGAGAGACCGCAGCTGCCCGAGATGTAGTGCTGCACCAGACATCCGGCCGTATCCACAACAAGAACGTCTCTACTCACCTGATAGGCAACATCAAACAAGGTGAAGGTGGCTTGGGAGGGAGAGAGCTGAGGGGAGGAGTCAGCTCTGGAGGAAAGAGATCCAGTGCCCTGATCTTGCTTCTAGATTGTCCTTCCCTCCCTGAGGGGGGGCTGCCCCCATCCTGGAGACAGGTTTTGCTTGCTCTGCCCTTCACATTTTTCCATCCCACCCACAGGCCACAACCCTGAGAGGGGTAGCTCTGACCTCTTTGCCCTCTGCACCCTGGATGGTGAGCAAAGTTGGCCTGGGCAGGGGCAGAGGGCTCTGCCCATGGGGTCTTTTCGGGGTTCAGCTCGTCCATTCTGGGCCATCTGTCCCCCTACAGGGACTCTGAAGCTCATGGAGGAAGCAGACAAGCTGCTGTGGTCAGTGCAAGTAGATCACCAGCTCTTCGCCTTGGAGAAGTTAGATGTCACAGTGAGTGGGTATAGGTGGAGCAGAGCATTTGTGCATTCTGCACAGAGAGTTTTGCATCCAGCCACTTGCATCTGTCTACACTCTCAGCCGCTCACATCCCTCTAAACATTTCTGTAGCACCTCTCATGTCTGCATGGTGATGGAGCTATAGGGAGCAGGCAGGGATTGGGTCCACCATGAATGAGTGACTTACCTTCAATAAGATGAAAGCTTGGAGCTGAGGTTTCCTCAGAATAAAGTTGTGGATAAGGCTGCCTGTTCCACAGCATTATGAAAGGTGCCTCATTTGACCGCCCTGGTGGGTGGGCACAGGAGTTCTTCCCCAGCTCACAGCCTGCCATCCAAAGTCAAGTTCACTGTCCTTTATAGCTTTTCCAGCCTCCGCCATTAGGTGTCTTGCTAAAGCCCTCCTGGCCACTCCTGTTTCCTTGTCTCTGACCTTTTTCAGGGTAATGGACATGAGGAGGTGGTTGCATGTGCCTGGGATGGACAGACGTATATTATCGATCACAACCGTACTGTTGTCCGCTTCCAAGTGGATGAAAATATCCGCGCCTTCCGTGCAGGTGGGACCCTCCCCTACGGTCCCTCTCTGCGCACGCTCACATTAGATAATGACGTGAGGTGCTACAGAAACATTTGGCTCTTGTTTCTACTCGATGACATAGCCACAAATGGAAATCTTCATAAATGAATGAATGCTTTAGCCCCTTCACTAGCAAGCTGTGGGCAGGTACTCCATCACAGTCGTGAAAGTTTTAAAACTCGAAGAGGATTTTTTTTTTTTGGTACCGGGGATTGAACTTGGGACCTTGCACCTGGAAGGCAGGTGGTGGCACCACTGAGCTAAATCCCTGGCCCTGACAGTTTTAAATAAGGAAAATTAACACGACCTGCCTTGCAAGCACAATGTCCCGTGTTCAATCCCCAGTACCAAAAAAGAAAAGAAAGAAAAATTAAGGTATCTCTGAATATTTTAAATAGTGGAATTCGTTCTCACTGTGTGTCTGGGATGTGGAAAGACATTAGAGTTCTTTTCCATCTGAGTGTGCTAGAACTCTGTGAGAAAAATTCTCCTAGAGCATTCTCAGTTCCAAATTGAAAACTTTGGAAAGCAGCACCAGCTTTTTTGAGCAACCTGGGGATATGTCTGTTACCAAAATAATAAAGGTCTGTGTGTGCCTCAGTGATGGAGAACCTACCCAACATTCATGAGGTGCTGGCTCAATCTCCAGCACCACAAAAAATGAACAAACAGGCTGATAGGAGCTGGAGCTGTCTCTGGAAGACAACACCAGTGACCTGAGAAGCTGATGTGCATGGCCTTGAAATAAAGGGTGAAAACCTAGGAGAAGCCTTTCTTTCTGGTCAGATTTTGCTGGCTGACCCTTTGGACTGGCAGGGCTGTCCCACAAGACTCCAGGGATAGCACTAGAATGGGAAAATTTAAAATACCACCTTTTTAGATACTGTTCTGTGCCTAGTTTTTTACTACAGTTTTTCCATATCTTGGGGGGGCCCGATATTTTCCTGTCTGAACCTATTTTACTGAGTTCCCAGCAGAGAAGAAATAGAAAGTAGACCTTTGTTTGTTGCTCAGCATATTAGGGATGGGGAGGACAAAACCCTGACTCTGATATCCAGGTCTTGTTCTTGTCCCACACCAGTGGGACCCAAGCTTGACCTCTGTCTCATTGTCCCTGTCTCCCAGGCCTGTATGCCTGCAAAGAGGGCCGCAACAGCCCCTGCCTCGTGTATGTCACCTTCAACCAGAAGATCTACGTGTATTGGGAGGTGCAGCTAGAGCGGATGGAGTCCAGCAATCTGCTGAAACTGTTAGAGACTGAGCCCGAGTACCACAGCCTGCTGCAAGAGCTGGGCGTGGGTGAGTCCTGGGAAAGCCAAAGGCCGGGCGTCCCGGAACCCACAGCCTCTCACTAGCTCCTTTCTATTGTCAGATCCTAATGACCACTGTGCAGCTCGCACTCTGCTTCGCCAGATCCTCTACCATCCAGACCAGCCGCCACAGTGTCCCTCCTCCAGCCCCCAGGACCCCACCTAGTTGGGCTTGGCCTCTCGGCTGCTGAAGGATGCTCTAAACCCCCACCCCCACCCCAGAGGTGTCCACAATGTTCACAGGAGAGGGAGTGTACTTAGAGAGGAGCAGGAGTGAATACTTGGCATGGGAAGGTGCCATGACTCTAGCTTGACCATGAACTAGAAGCCTCTTGGTATTTTTTTAATTAATGAGTATAGTATTAGTGAGAAATACATAATAGCTGCATTCATTTTGGGAAATTGGTATATTACATATCAATCATTTTTAATCCCTTAACCTGCCACCCTTACCTACACCACAAACTGTCTCCCATGTTTTTTTTGGAGGAGGGGCTTGCTGAGTAGTCCACGCTGGCTTAGAACCTGGTAGGTACAACAGGCTGGTCTTGAACTCATGACCCTCCTGCTTCTTGGATTGTAGCCATCTGCCACCATACCTGGCTCCTGTCCTCTTTTTGGTGAAAAAGAGATAAGGTGACCCTCTGCCCATTTCCTTACGGACCTCAGCAGCTGGGTCGTAGGATCCTAGCCTTGTTCTGAATTACCCAGGATGCCGCTGCCTCCCTCTCTAAGCTTCCTGCTCTCACTGCAGAAAACAGACTTGTTTTTGAGAACAAATTTTTTGCACAACCCTAACACCCATAGGGAGACCAGTCTTCAGTCCCAGGAAAGCAGTGGAGGTAGGGCCTCCACCCCATCCTAAACATCACCTTTCATGGCACAGCTCCAGGTAATTGACAGTAGTAATTATCACAGGACTGGCAAACTGTTTTGTTTAAAAAAGTCTTCCAGAAAGGTCTAAAGGAGTAGGGGAAATGGGAGGGATAAGGGAAAGGAAAGAAGGGAAAAGGAAAAAAATGGAAACAAAGTCTTTGTAAATAGGGAAGGGTGGAGGGGGTGAAGGGAGGGCAGGGGAATGGGAAAAACATAAGAACCAAGATACATCATGTAAAGGTACAAGATCCCAATGATGAGTGTAACTGGATTGTATACCTAAAATGTACCAATAAACTTAATGGAAAATAAATTTTTTTAATAAAAATAAAAAGGTCTTCCAGAACATTTTACAGCCTGATCTTACTTGTATTCCTAGCAACCCTGAGATGATTTTTCTCCATTTATTAAAGCAGCTTGGTCAGTGCTTTCAGATTATGCCATATTTCCCACCCCCTCTCTTTTTTTGTTCAAGTGCTGAGGCGAGAACCCAGAGCCTTGCATGTGCTAGGCATGTATCTACCACTGAGCTGTGCCCCGGCCTTGCCGTATTCTTAAGTATTGTGCAGGCCCTTCTCCCTCATCCCTGCTTTCCTCTTTCCCCCAGAATACCTTATTGCATATAAGACTGTAGTCATTTACAATTTGATGCAGGTTTATTCTCCAGACCATAATCAGAATTATATCATGGAATATTTATGTTCTTTCTAGTTGGTTGGTTGGTTGGTTTGCTTACAGTTTTGGAGATTGAACTCAGGGCCTTTGTGCTGAACTACATGCTCAGCCCTTTTTTTACTTTTTATTTTGAGACAGGGTTTCACTGAGTCTCCAAGCTGCCCAAGCTGAACTCAGACTTAGGACCCTCTTGCCTCAGCCTCCAGAGTGCTGGAATGGTAGGCATGTATCATCAGCCTTCTTTTTGCTCTTCATTCTTTGTGCTCCAAATCAATGCTTTTCAGGTTGTAGGTAATAATCCTTTGGTAGCTTGTGGCCAGCATTTTTTAAAAGGAAGTAGAATAAAGTAAACTAGAAGACAGAGTCCATTGCTTACAGTGTAGGTATTGTTTTGTCATAATTGTATATGGGGTTTTTTGTTGTTTTTTTGTCTTTTGGGGGGTTTTTTGGTACAGGGGATTGAACTCGAGACCTTGTGCTTTTGAGGCAGGCAGCGGAACCACTGAGCTAAATCCTCGGCCCTCACAATTGTATATGTAATGTAAAATACATTCCACAAATCATTGCCCTTGGTTGTACCAACGCCAGGCAAATGGATCAGCCAAGGGAAAGGCCCGCATCCATATTTCCTTCCCATAAGGCAGTTGGGGCAGAGTTACCATTCAGCTCCCGATAGGCAGCAAGAAAGATCAGAGAGGAACACTGCCTAGAGAAGCAGCTGGCTGCCAGCCTGCATTGGGCCTGGGATCTGTCATTACAGAATCAGAGAAGGGGACAAAAGTCATGGAACAAGGCAGCAAGGGATAGGGAATCTGTTAAGGACCTTGAGACCAGGTACCATGACAGATAACATCCTGAGGACAAGAGAGTCATTTGAGAACAGTGAGGCTGGACATCATGGGTGGCTCTTTGCACCCTGGCTCTTCTCTAATGCGTCCAGGCTCACATGTAGTTTCCAGCCTAAGAATCCCAGGTACACAGTCCTGTTGGGTACACCTTTCTTTTTCTCTGTCCCTAATTATTTGAGAGAGTCAGACCAAGCAGAAAGACCCAGGGGCCTGGCTCCTTAGCGATGGATTCTCTTCTTCACAGTGAAGTCGAAGAAGGCTCTGTCCTTTTGCCTCTGACCTGGCAAGGGAATCAAGACAAGCTGAAGGTCAAATGACCAAAAAGAAGGCTGCAGGTACCTTAAGGAGGTGGACAGCTCTAGAAATAATGAACATTGGATAGATTAAATCTGAGTGCTGTCTACTGTGCAGGGTTGCTTCTCCCAGCAACCCTCTTCTGCACACTCCGCTAGAGGGGTCCAGAGGGTGGAAAAGCAAATGGAGAAGGATAAACCTGCAGTGTCAGAGGCCAGCCCAAGGCATTGATCAATCAGTGGGCTTTGGAGGTTTGTGACCCAGAAAAAATAGCTAATAAAAGCTTTCAGCCTTAGGAACTGGGCCTTCCTGTGTAACTCCCTTTCCTGTTAAATGAATTACTGTGCTTGCCATGTCCTTTCCTTTTCAGCTGGGAGCGAGTGTGTGCAGAACTAAAAGGGAGGGCAAGTGCCCAAACAGCCCATGCCCCAGCCCAGGGAGCTTGGCAATCTGGTGGTGGCAGATATGAAGCCTCAGAGGTGGGGTGACAGGGGAAAGGCAGGTGAGTAGTGGTGGGGCGCAATGGGCGCAGGTGAGGCTAGCAATTGACTGCTGGCTTTGACTTTGATGGCCAGAGCCACGCCTAGAGCTGCTCCATTATGTTCCAGTCCTTTTCTGTAGCCCTGACCTGGCTTTGCTCTTCTTGGGAAAGAGCTGAGAGAGCAGGAAAGCAGAACCCTGGAATCATGGGCCCTGCAGAGGACACTCCTCATGGGGCAGAGGACAGCTGCTGAGAAGCAGGGGGAAGATCAGCAGCTGAGAGGAGTGGGACAGCAGAGGCCAGGGTGGTAAAAGAAGGACAGACAGAGTCACCCACTCGAGGATGATCCCTCCCGCTTTTCTATTGCAACACAGCCCTGGAGACTGCCTAGGACAACAGTCCCTGGCCAGCGTCCTGGTTCAAAGGCAGGAAGGACAGCCCTGAGAAGGGGCTGTCAGTGGCAGCACAGCCATGCTGCAGGTGATGTGCGCCGGACTGGGGAGCCAGGACGTGGGTTACTTCTCTGCCAGCACCCTCTTCTGTCCCCTCCCACTTCCCACAGCTCCCACCTGCTCCCGGCTTCTCCCTTGCTCCCATTTTACCTGGACCCCTGTCAAGGAAGGACCCAGATCTCTTAGTTTCCACTTGGGGGTAACTGAGAAACCTAAAGCCTGAACTGCATAGGAAGACCCTGTCTCAAAAAACAACAAAACAATGCACACCTCCAGGTCCTTCTTAGAGCTTGTTCTTCTGCTCTGTCCTTTACCTCTTTGCCAGTACTTCAGGGCGGGCCCCAAACCCGTGGATGCCTTAACGTGAGGGAAAGCAGGGTCTGCAGTCCTAGCCAGAACTTGAGACTCTACATCTGCAGGAACCATGAGAAAACGAGAGGCTGATCCGTGGCCATGCTGCCCTCCTCAGCTCTAAGTCCTTCCCTGCCCACTCGGTTCCCCAGGGCTGAGAATATTGCCACCATGCTAGGGACAGTCAAGACATCTTGGGGTACACATCTTGCTGGTAGGGGGTACACCCAGAAAGGAAAGGTAGAAGACCTGAGAAGCTGCTGTCAGTCATGGGAGGACTTACCCCCACACACCCGGGCCGAGCATGCCCCTATCTATTGCCCTAGCCTTAGTTCCAGCTGTTGTACCTGAGCCTAGGCCCAGGTGCTGCATCCCCACCCGAGCTTCCAGGATCTTCCCTAACCAGCCCCACTCCCATCCCACCACTGTGACTCAGCTAACACTGATTTGTGTTCTCTAATCCCTGGCCCACATAGCATCTAAATCTTTACTACCACAACCTTCTAGCCACTCTGTTTACAAAAAAAAAAAAAAAAAACCTATTGAGATTCATATACCATAAAATTCATTCTTGTAAAGTATACAGCTCAGTAGTGTTTTTTGCAGTGCTAATGATCAAACCCAAAGTTTCTCACATGCTAGGTTTCTACATTGAGCTACATTCCCAGCCCCAAGTCAGTGGTTTTTAGTATTTTCACAGAGCTGTAAACTATCACCAGGGTCTGATAGGGAAATATTTTTGTAACCCCACCCCCATATTTGAGTTGCACTTTTACCCCAGGGGCCCTGAGGCATCCAGCAGAGACCTGATTGTACTAAGCACCTGTGTCCACAGCCACTCCAAGCAACTGGCCCAGCACCAGAAGGATTGTGGATCCCTGCACCCCAGGAGAAAGTGGGATTGGAACCTTCAATTTCCCTGCCCTTTGATGATTCTCTTTTTAAAATGAGTGGAGGGAATAAACTGAGTCTTTACAAGTGATTTCTTTATGGGAGTCATAATTGAGGCAAAACTGACTTTCTGGTAAAGGAACCAAAAAAAGGAAACGGAGATACACATAAGCAGGGAAAGATGTGGTCCGAAGTGGAGATCTGTTTGTTTCCAGCAATCCTTGGGAGTTTGAGGGCCTCCTGGTCAGAGAACTTTAGATCAGAGAGCAGAACTTATGTTTTTGTGCTTCAGGTGTTTGTTTGTTGGCGGGGGCGGGTACAATACTAGGAATCAAACCTTTGCCCTGACCTACATCCCTAGCCTGTTTTTTTATTTTGAGACAAAGTCTCACAAAGTTGCCTAGGCTACACTCAAACTTGTGATCCCCCTGCTTTGGCCTCTCATAATGCTAGGATTACAAGGATCCACTACCACACCCACCTCTTGTTAGGAATCTCAGGCATGGGTAAGCAAGAGGCTCGCCACTCAGAATGAAGGTAAGTTCACTTTGGGATATATACAGACATTTTGGTGCACTCTGGGATACATATATATTAAGATGGTTTTCTCCAAACGTTTGTTGAGGATCTCCTGTACATAAGACATGTTATTAGAAGATACTTTG